ATCTAGAATTTATGCAAAAAATGTAATGAATTTATCTGAAGAAGGTAGGAAAGAAATACCTATTGAGAATAATTTTAAACGATCTTTAAGACGAATTCGTAGTAATATTTACCCAAAGTTAAAATCAATAAATGAATTAAACTTGGACAATTCAAAATGGGCCACTACCGGTGGAATAGATCCACAGCAATTTCTTCTTTATGACAACAAAAATAATAAGAATAGAATTTTAGTTTTTGCTTCACAGTTATGTTTAAAATCTTTATCATCATCAAAACATATATTTATGGATGGCACTTTTGCAACCTGTCCACGAGGTTTCTTTCAAGTATATGTTGTTCATGCTCAAATAGGGGAAAAAAGTTTACCGATGGTGTACGTATTAGTGCAAAAAAAAAAACAAAAGAAACTTATAAAGAAATACTTTTGGTGTTAAAAAAATATTGTTCTTCGGTTAAAGTGATTTCGATTGATTTCGAACAAGCTGTGATAAAAGCAATTCAAGATGTATTTGAAAATGAAGTAGCAATCCAATTATGCTATTTTCACTTAAATCAATCAATTTGGAGAAAAGTGCAAGAATTAGGACTAGCCATAAAATATAAATAAAATAAAAAATTCAGACAAGCTGTAAAATTAATTAGCGCTCTGGCATTCTTACTTGTGAATATGATTAAAAAAGGTAATAAAATATGAATAATTATATAATTATTTTTATTATTTATTATTACTTTTTATTTTATTAATAACTATATTGTATGATACAATTAATTACAATGACGATGTAGACGACATATTAACTTATTTCGATGCAACGTACGTTAATGGAAGTTATAAAGCAACGAATACTGAATTTGAAACCATGTATCTCAATGACAGCCACCGATTTTTCCACCACATTTATGGAGTGTGTATAATGCATCAAAAAAAGGTGAGGCCCGCACTAATAACATATCAGAAGCATTCAACAATAAATTCCAAAATATCGTCAGGATTAAACATCCAAGTATTTATATGTTTATTGAATGTATACAACTAGTTAATTTCGATGATATCTTTGACAAAAAACGATGAAAATGTATTTTTGAATATTTTTTTAAATCCATTAAGTGATAGGGAAAAAAAAATTATATCTATTTGTAACAGTTTTAAAATCAACTTTTCTAAAGATGAACTTTTGAATTATTTGTATTCCTTAAGTATTGCTGTAAAACATCGATGAACGCTATCAAGGCTTTATTCTCACAAGGTATTATATACATTTTTATTTTTTTATTTGACCATATTATATTATATTTTATTCCCTAAGCGTACCTATTATATTATTGAAAATCAGTTTTAAAAAATTTTATTAAAATAAATTATTTATAAAATTATTTTGTGTTTAACTTTTAAGCCGGGGACCAATTGTCCGTGTATGAAATTATGAAGGGGACCAATTGTCCGCATGCCGCATTTTTTCGCGGGGACCAATTGTCCGGGGACCGATTGTCCTAGATCCAGTCACGACACCGTACAAAGTCACATATTATAAAAGGGGCCTCCGAACACCAGACCAACGTCCACTGGACGCCGGCCGGTCTAGTCTTTTGTGAGCTCCGCCAAAATAACAATGATAACGACTGCGAATGGTGATCGCCCGCAAGGTTTATAGATACTACTAGTATCTATAAACCTTGGATCGCCCGCCGACCGGTAGTGATAGTGATAGTGATAGTGATGGTGATCAGAAAAACCTGTCTTTGAAACAATTTTTTTGTTTTTTTTTATACAATATTTTACAATAAGATATTCTTAGCTCATGCTATCTACATCTAGAGATATTAAAGTAATAGTAATACATTTTTGGCTTGCGAAGTGCGAGGATTAATTCAAATTAATTTTACTTTGAAACTAAATATAGCACGTTATTCTTCAATGTTAATAATACGTGTTTTGTCATTTAAACTTTTGCTGGTCTCTCTATTTACTATTATACGTATTAGGTTACACTCTGTTATAAAAATGTCAAACTGTATATTTTATCAATTCTCAGTATTCTCTGGGATAATTTTCCTTTACACAACGGCGACTACCGTCCGTTTATTTATTGAATGAAAACATAGGCTACTGGTTAGGGTACCTACCGTTTTCAAATATAAATATTGAATACAATGATTTTCATAATAAATTATTGTAAATAAATTTAAAAATCTCGAAAATTGAATAGCATAATTTTCTATACCTAATCTAACCTAACCTACGATATTCTACATAGGTGGTTCCAGGATTTGACTCCAGGTGTAGCACACATAATTAGGTACACATTTAATACACAATACACACACCTACATTCCTATATCTATAACAAACACACACACACACACACACACACACACTCACATGTATAAATGTATAATATTATATTCTATAAATTGCATTCAATTTTTCTACTTATGATTTTTATTTTGTTTAAAAATGTGGCGGTTGAAAATTTAAATGTCAGGTGCAGCACAGAGGCTGCAACCGCGTAGGACCGCCTAATGCCTATATTATGATATTCTAATGTTTATGCGTTTAAAGTATACGACAACCCGACAACATATATCAATATAATATCATTATATCATCTATTTAAATTATTATAAAATAATATAATATATTAATATACCTTAAATTATTATTTGATTGGATAGTTGTATTATACATTATTATTAAAAAAATAAGACGTAGGTACCGTTATTTTTACATTCCTACCAATTTAAATGTTAGTACCTTTTATAGTTATATATAATACATAATATATTTATATAATTATATGTTGTATCATATGATAAACATCTTATGCATTTTTTTATCTAAGGTGTATACTGTATATAATCTAGTATGTCGCCAAAAAATTTCCATCATGTGGGGAAATATTTTGACCCTTGTATCATTTTACTTACAACCAGAACATTCACCTTAAAAGTTTCAATTTACTTTTGGATTTTCAAAAAATAAATGTTCATATTAACATTAGGCATACATATTATAATCCTTTGTATAATAATATACAACAGTATGATTGTATATTAAATAATATTATTAATTATTTTGGTAAGCAATTATTATTAATTAATATTTTTAAAAATTTAAGCTGAATTAATATTTTCCATCTTTAATTTTAAAAATTAATAAATAAAAAAACGTTTTAATAATAAAATTGGTGAAAAAATATTAAATTTTGAGTAGTAAGTGGGTGGGCCCAGTGGTGCCGAACTTTACATTTAGTAAATCAATCGCTCCACAATATATATGAGTTCGACACCACTGAGTTGGCCGGTAGTGGGCCTAGTAGATGGTTGAAGGGGGCCCTGGCCCACTTTTATTTTAGTATATAATCATTACAATCCCCAATATCCAATTGTACAATATATGTCATTATTTTATAACTAATGACCGGATTCAATCGCGTTAAAAATATGTTAAAATTGCACTAAAAATATGTTAAAGTTACATGATAAAATCATATTAAATATATAATAATTGTTAACTACTTACTTAGTTAACATGATGGACATTCACAAATTAAATAATTCTACAATAGTATAAAAAAAATAAAAAATGTAAAAAAAGTATTTAAAAATTCTAATATACTATTTTAAACAAATTCTCCGCCCTTGAATGACTTACGGAATACAGCCACGGGGTACCTCCAAAAATCCAACATTCAAAAATTCCAATCCTTCCAATCAATTTGCCTTCTTCTCCTCACAAACGCACCCTGGTACGTCAGCAACCTCACACTCCCCTCTAACTTAAAAATCCCATGCATAAACACCCTAGCCTCCCACTACTATAAATTATTTCACAATAACACAGTCAACCACCCTAATCCACTCATTTCTAATCTCTCCTCCATCACTCTCCCCGATAACCCTCCACGTCGTCTAAAGCGAAATTGGCCCAGGGACCTCCTTAACCAATAACAAAAAAAAAAAAAAAAATCTAGAATTGAAGTAGCGTTGTTTGGACACCCCTTCTATCAGGCCGTCCAGTTTTGTATGTATCAACCAATAACCATATTAATTATTGTATAGCTTAATACAGATTGCATATATATTTTCTTTTAATACAAAAAAAAAAAAAAATAAATAAATATATATTATTTTTCTGAATTATTATTATATATAATTAGGTATTTATTTTACATTATTCTTAAATTGTGTAGCTGTAAAGAATATCACCTGTCACTTAAAATATGTTAGTACTTAATATAATGAAAAAGTACGTTCAACGTCTACACTAATTATTATCAGTGCATAATATTTAAAATAAGTAGTAAGTGGGTCCATAGAGGCGAAACGCCACCGCCACCCGCCACACATACCCAAGCCGTCCGCCACGGCCACCAGTAGCACCTACCCCCGACCGAACCCTCCACCGCTGACACCCTACCCCCCTCCACCGCTGACACCCAGCCGCCCGGCAGACCGCTGATGACACTGCCCACCCCCGACCATACCCTCCACCCGGCCGCCTATACCCCTACCACATTACCCTGTATCATATAAAGCGCTACATCCGCATACGCGATATTCAGTCGCAGTTTTCCTTTCATAGTGACAGTTGTAACACAGTGTATAAAAATGGCTTCAAGCAGTGAACGGGTATACAAATTTATTGCGCCTGCACCTCTGGCTGAACTCATCGACTGTACCAACTACACAATCGATTTTGTAAATCGCAAGTTTTTACAACTCGGCATCGATCCTACACAGCAGTTCAATGTTTGTGTACGTATAATTACTTCGTAGCGTTATGTAAACATTTCCGTGGACTTTTTGAAACGTATATATTCATTGATGGGTCAAATTCTATCTTATATACTGGATACCACAGTAAAATACAAAAGATTTATTTTCCTGGAGAATGAATTTGTTTTGGTTACGTCTATGATATATAGAGGAGAGTGTATGTTAGTGATAGAATCCAAAGTTGAACAAGGATGTAGAATTTTATTAAGTCCGAAAGAACTAATGGCAATTCAAAACATGGAGTGGACTATTTTCGAAACCGTAAACAGAAAAACGATGACCGTGAGACCAATGATTCTATTACAACTTGATCAGATAACTGAATATTTTAAAAATGATTATAATATTGAAAAAGATGCGACACTCGAAGACGTTGTAGCAATAATCAAAGGAATTCATATTGAATTAATATCTACACATGTACCGAAGAACAAACATAGTTTTATAAATCAGATAAAACTGCTCGCAACTGACCAACTAGCAAGCAGTTGGATGGAGAAACTCGATAAATCATTAAAAGTATGAATACATGATTTTTATTTATTTTAATTATACTAAAATATCTTTTCAATTAGGGAGTCAAAGAAAATTACGGTCCGGAAGATTTCTTCTCACCTCCGTTTACTCAATTGCATCGTCCATGCAAACAGCCAAAGAAGACGGTAATTTTAAAAATAATAATAATATTAAAAATAAATAATAATAAATATACTTAATTATCAGGTGAACGATGAATACGATGGACCCGTGGCGGCCAGAGACGAAACAAAAAATTTAAAAGTAAAGAAAATTTATAACCATTAAAATCATTATAATGAATATAATTGTATTAATTTTTTAGGATTTTTTCGAGACATATGATCAGGTCATCGATGAACCCGACAAGATAGCAGACAAAAACAATTGTTTTACTCAATATTTGTTTTGATATGTAATATTTAAAAATAAAATCTTTTTTCTCTATATCATATGTTTTTTACATGAAAAGGGCGGTACCACTCATCTCCGATCTAAATATCTCCCACCCCCGAGTATAGAGTAGGGATAATCCCCACTCTAAACGAGTGATCGGGTAGCACTGTTTAAAAGGGTGACACAGACTTTTTTCAAGACAGTCGTGAGTGTTGCGTCAAACGAGTCGTGTGCGTACCCGATTAATAACTTATTTCGAGACAGTTGTTAGCGTATCTAACAAAAATGGCTAGTAATCTGATCGATTGTACTACATTCTTTGTTGATAGCAATATTTTTATAAATATAGGATTAGACCCTGATTTTTTGTTAAATTGGGTTATATGCATCTCAAATAACTCGCAGTGTGTTAAAATGAGTGTTGAATTCTATAATTCTCTAATTAATATAGCTCTTAAATACATAAATGTTTCACTACCATCTCATTTAATGCTGGAGGAGTTTAAATTGGCTTCAATAGATAAATACAACGGTGACAACGTTCTCTCGATAAAGTGTTGGCAACAGGATCAACATGTACGATTAACTAAAGAGAATGTTTCAAGGATCTTGCAATTAAATGATGCCGTGGAAGAAGTTATTCAGATGAAAAATATATACACACGACCTAGCGCATTACGTCAGGCCTGTGGTATTTCAAGGTATCTTGGAAAGGAAATGCCGTTACCCAAAGATACAAAAATAAGCAATGTTGAAGATTATTTATCCCGTATCGATGTCCAAGAATTGAAAAAAACAACTCAATTTCACTGGTATTTGTTTAATAGCAGATTTGAAAATTAAGGCAGTCAAACAATTGGCAATGGGATGGTTATCTTCTTCTGCCGAAACTGAGGTAATACGATTTTATTTTTACATAATATTTTATACTAAAGAAACAAATTTTTTTTAGTCTGAAGTAAACAGACCGAGAACGAGGGCATTTGTAGCCCGCACATTAATTTTTCGTTAATAATGTAATATTTTATTGTAATATGACATTTTATTATGTAATTTTCATATTTTTGTCAATTATTTAAAAACGCGAACCATTAATGTAATATTTTATTGTAATATGATATTTTATTACTTATATATAATAAAAAAAACAACGTGATATTTAAAAAAAGTATTTTTATTTTACAAGCTTTATTTACAATTTTCTTACATCACCATTAAATGGATTATAAGTTATAATTTGGTCGTGTAAGATGAGACAATAAGCTGCAGTCTTTTCAGGAATGGCAATATCGGTCTCAAATTCAATACGCAGGTCCACGGTTGACGACTTCACATTGTCGTTTTGATGCGATAGATCGACAGCGGCGATTGGTGCATGGTTTTGATAAGTATTTTTTGACAGTAACGGCTCGCAATAGTCTCTTTCGTAGTACGATTTTTGAAAATCTGTGTAAGCTTTATACAGTATCGAAGTTTGTTTGTTTTGGAAGTCTGCTCGGAAATCTCCATACGGATACGCTTCAGAATTTAAGTATACCTTATGATTTTTCAATCTACAGTGGTCGAATAGGCCTGCATCAAGTGTTATAGTATTTGTTCGATCTGTTTGAAATCCAATTAATACAAATCTAGGTTTTTCGAGTAAATTGCTAGACTTTACCGTCCACGAATGTGAAGTATTTTTAGGTAACACTGGATATTCACATAAATCCCAAGTTCTGAAAGCACACGATAACGTTTTACGAGAATCCAATATTTTTAACAGTCTTAACTTTTCTTTATCACTAACTTTGATAATAGGCATCTTCCATAATATTTTAGTCAGTTCGACTGTAATTTTTTTTATTTTTCTTGGAGTTATCAGTAACGTGTAATGTGTCAAAATCTGTCGATGAACGATTCAAAATCAATTGTTGATTACAATTAAGTAATATTTTTTTGTAATCTTCAAAAAATCCAAATAGATGTTTCAGTGGAACGCAGCCGGTAAACACATTAATGGTCATGAAATTTTTATTATTATCGTTACTACCCAACGACGACCCCCCAAGCTGCATTATCCAGTTGTGTTCAAGTCGTTTGGAGTATATGAACAGTAACCTTTCAAACAAGACGAAATTCCTGGTGATTTAATTTTTTGAACTCATTATTCGATTCATTATCCATTATTCGAAAAACTAACGTCTCCAACAGCATCTGTAGGTTTATTTACTTTTCCCTCTATGTACAGATAACTCTCACACGGAAAAGTGTAAGAATCCATATTTAAAACACTTATCCTAATTTCATCGTTATTAGAAAAAAGACATGTTGAATATGGAGTGAACGAATGAATAATTCTTTTGAGTTATTTTACACTCATCGACATAGCCGGCTGCTACGTCTAAATAATATGAGTCGTCCATAATTAAATTTTCAAGGAACGAAGAAAATTTAAATTATTTTTCGTGAGTTTAGTTTCGGTTTGGATGTTGACTTCTTGACGGCTGGTACAATACTGATAGGTTTTTTGATTGTTGCTCTTTTTATATTGATGTTAAATTTGAGAGCCATACCCCCGCGTTATTTGCAAGCGAATCGTAATTGATTCGCCGCGTAGATTTATTGGACAATCGTTCTGATCTTTTAATACGATAATTACTCTAGATATTGAAGTCGTGTTGAGACCATAATAAACTGGATGCCTAGGTACCTCGACGATTTTATAGCCTGCTGGAACAGTTGGATAGAGTTCGTGTATGATCTGGCTCGGTGCTCCGTCACAAAATGAGCCAGTAATCAAGTTGCACTCGACTTTTATACTATTTATTTTAATTATCTTGACTGTAATTTCAGATTCGTGATTAATACCAGCAGTGTATAAAACATTTCTAAAACCCAACAATTTCGCTATGCTATTCTTGACTCCCAAGTTCACATCGTGACTACACGAGAGCGTGCGCTTTAATGTGGTATTGTTTGCTTTTAATTCAAACCAATCGACATATTCCGGCATATTTTTTTGTATAACAGACTCTAAATTATCAAACTCATACGAGCCTGTAGGTATAATAACGTCCTCATTTTGACCGAACATATTTTGGAAACCGATAGTATTGCAACCGGGTTCGATGTTTGGTATAGAATTATTTGTCTGTAAGCTCAAAAGACATATTTGGGCTGTGTTTTCCACTTCTAGCGGCGGAAAAATATCGCATGACAATTCACTCGAGTTCCCGTTTAACGTCAACGTGTACATGATAAAAATTTTAAACACAAGTGCCCGCCGTTTGTAGTATTATAATTCTGATCTCTGTTGTAATTGAAATTAATGTCACAACCGCTAAAATATTTTTGTACTTCCAATGGAGGTTGTAAATTTCCAAAACTGTCGTAATAATCGACTTGTTTTCCGATTTTTTTATACGCTACCCAGTGAGTGCCTGTACCGCTTTCCGAGTCCAAGTTAACAATCGCTGATTCTATTAGTTTGGGGCGTGCAGATAACCTGTCTCTAGTAAACACGCCGATGAAATGAGGTATTTTCATTAAACGTGCTATTTTTATAAGCTCGTAATCGTACAGTGCTCTTCTGGGTATCGTAGATATTAGTTTTTTTCGCTTTTTTGCCTCCACCTCTTTTATATGGGGCGAGATATAAACCCGAACCGATTTTGTACGAGTTGCCCTTATACGGAGCGAGATATAACCCTCTGCCCAAATGAGATGGTGTGTTTCTTTTAAATTCACTAGCCAACTTAACGACGTTGGCAACACCTCCAGTTAGAGCTCCCAAAGCCGATAAACCAGCGAAAATCGGAATAAGTGGCAACACACCGCCTTTTTTCGGAACTGTTATTATTCTAGGAACTTTTGTCTTTTTATTTTTGAATGTTTTTCGTGCAACGGCTACACATTTTTTACTTAATTTCATCAGATTTTTTTCACCGATATTTTTCTTTATAACCGCTTTAAACCCACATCCAGCCCCGATCTTACGTATTGCTTTCATGGCCGTAGTCACACCCCAAGCCACTGCTTTTTCTTTTAGACTAGAATCTTTTGCCTTGAACCTATCCCAGGCTCGCTGCTCTAATATATAGTCAGCCTCGTTACGATCTGTGATAGAGTTACTACGATCGTACGCAATATCGTGATCTTTACACGCAGAGTCCAAGGGGTTGATTCCTTTATCTCCGTGAGCCAAACGTTTTTTCAAATTTGTACCAGGTCCACAATATTGATAACCTACACAGATACATCATGATTTAAATTAATTAAAAATAATCACCAAAACTTACCGGGCACGTGAATCTCGAGTGGTAATTTGTTTATAAGCGTGTTGATAAGGCCACCACCCTTATTCTTGTTGTTTCTTCGTACGAGTGACATCGTGTACTGATCGTGAACATTGCCATTGCTACAAAGATATTTCTATATAAAAATGAAATTTATGGAACAAAAACTAAAACTTGCAGTTGAAAACGTGGACCCGCCTACATCGATTCAGTACTATAGACATGGAGCGCTTCTTCCCAATACGATACGAGCACTTATTGTCGGACCTTCGGGCTGCGGAAAAACCAATTTAATTTTCGCTTTACTAACCAATGTAAATGGAATAAGATTTCATAACGTTTACATATATTCTAAAACATTGGATCAACCGAAATATAAAATGTTGAGTGATATTTTATCAGACATTGATGGAGTACAATTATTTACGTTCTACGAAAATGAACAAGTTATTGAACCCGAGAAAGCTTTACCAAACTCTGTGTTTATTTTCGACGATATTATTTCAGAAAACCAAAATATCGCTAGAACTTACTTTTCCAGAGGTCGACATAATTTAGTGGATGTTTGCTACCTGGCTCAAAGCTATTCAAAAGTACCTAAACAACTTTTGCGTGACAACGCTAATTTTATTGTATTATTTAAACAAGATGAAACTAGGTAATTTAAAACATGTTTACATGGAGCATTGCTCTGGCGATATGTCATATACTGAGTTTAAAGACTTTTGTACGACATGTT